AATTTTTAATGAAAACTTTATTTGACATTATCAGCCTCAATTTGTTCTTATTTTTTAAGCAATTTCAGCCTATATGTTCTTATAAAATGTGTTCTTATATAATAAAAAAAATTGTGTATAATCCTACTGTATGTATTTTAAGTACATACTGTACATACAGTCAGGGAGTTGTTACCCTGATACAGTAGGCCCAATTATATATTTTATATACTGTAGGCCTATCAGTATTTATCATACCGCTGTACACTGCAAAGCACATGCCTAGTGATATTATGGAACTGTATAGATCTTCATTGTCAATGTTTCTGATTAGAACTACATTAAAAATATCCAACTGTATGTATTAATTTATAAATGCTTAATTTGTTTTAAACAGTGTTATGCAATGTGTCTGAAGGTAAGAGGCCAGAATAATTATACATAACGATATTAATTTGATGAAACACACAACGACAATTTTGACAATAAACGAGGTAAATTTAGACGTGTTAATCGGTGCTACCGCCATCTGTGTTTGTATACGAAGTTTAATCTGTGATTTGTTCGTACATTAATCCTTAGACTAATAGTGACAATAATGGGGCAGTTTGCAATTCTAGTTGGTCGTTGAAATTTTATCACTGTCTAGTTATAGAGTTAAAGGCTGGGTAAGGACATCATTGCTTGCGATCAGTTAGGCATAAATTAATGTCGTAATTAAATGGCCTCATCAAACCATGGAGGTATAATACGTCCACGATCAAACTGATGTACAACATACAGTGCATACGGTACTGATACTGTACTCAGGGAGATTACATCCTGCTGTAACTGTACCGATTACTATATTGTTTTGATTTCCTACAAAACAATGTTTAACGACTATCTCTGAGATGTAAATGATGTTGGATATATAACCTCATTCATGAATTTAGTAACAGAATGTAGTTATAACGTAGACCTGTATTTTACATTTGTCTTTACCTGTAAATGCGATTTTTAGAGCGCTTTAATATTTAGACCAAGCTCAATATTTAGGACTAAAATAATACACAGTTTCAGGATTTTTAGGATTTATAATTTAGGTACTGCTACATACAGGTAAATGTCATCGAGAGCACTTATCTACTTCATAAAAATATTATAAGGGATTTGATTGGATTTATTCGGTGTAAACACCTCAAGGAGAACCTACTAAAAATTCCAAAGAACATTTATTTCCAGTGGGGTCCTTTTGGTGGTGATTGGGCAGTACACTTTTTTTTTTAAATATAAGAACCAGTAAAATTTTGCTCAGGCTCAAAATGTTCTTATTTTGTTGTTATTTTTACACACCTTTCAAACATGCACAATTATTATTGTACAGTAGTATGTTATTGTATTATAGATGTATTACATAGTCATACCTACTGCAAATAAGGAACATGATTTGTTCATGCTTCTAATTTTTAAAAATAAAATCTCTTTGACATTTTTAAAGCAGCCTCAATTTGCTTTTATTTTGTTCTTAATTTTTAAGCGATTTCAGCCTCAGTGTCCTTATAAAAGGTGTTCTTATATATATATGTATGTATATATATAAGTATATATATATATATATATATATATATATATAAATCGGGATGCAATTCTCTCATTTCATAAGAGTGCACTGCGTTCTTTAACGTGCATGGACCATCTTGCACACGGGAACAACGTCATATACGTCTCATTCGAAAGACGGTGCGATGTTAAAACCTTTAGCTGAAAGACTAGGAGAGCAGCGACGAGAATTGAACCGGAGACCAAGAGATCTCCACGGTGCAGAACACAGTACCACCAGTCTTCTGGGCCTACTAGGTTAAACTCAAATTAAATATTTTATTTCATTTAAATCTCTTAAACTTGCTAATTTCAGATAAGTAGGAATTTAAATAAACATATGTTTTCTTCGTGCAAAAGCGCAATCTCTCTATAAAAAAAAAACAATTAAAAAAAAACAAAAAAAAACCTGTCAATCAACAATTTTTTTAAACAAATTATGATACTACATAGGCCTAGGTGGACATTAGTTTAGTTTACATCTAATGTTGCAGTTATATCCGAGTTGGGAAGACTCGCTCCCACGATTACATGTTTCATTAACGCAATTCCTTATTAGTTGTGCATATTTAAAATGGATCACAATAGTTATGTTTTTAAAAGTTATAAATTTCAACTGAGAAAAAACTGTGGATATCACTTTTTATTAGAATTAGGACATATTATACAATGAATAAATGTCCTAGATTTCGTGTCAAGGAACGAACAGTTTATTTATTTAATTGTACACTTTTAGGACAGTGGCAATCACCAATTTGACTAAAATATTTAATGGATGTATAGTCATTCAATTGTTCTCTACAATAAAACAATCAATCAAAACAAATTGTGAAGAGAAAATTAATTTTTATACGTTTAACGCCAAAATTCCCCTTTAAAAGTCTTAAATCTAAAAATAAATGAATTGTGAATTACATTATAAAACACATATTTGCAACTTTAGTATCAAATAAGAGACGAAATATATTGGCAGGCCCACGTAATGGTCAGTACACGAATTGCTATGGCAAAGTCGCGACAAAACTATTCAACCCATCTGAACAATCTCACTTTTGTTTTTCGGCTGTCATTGGGTGAAGAGTAAATCACGCTGAGGTGAGCTGGAGATGCTACCAAGGACAGCCTTCGCCTGTATTCCATACACGAATTCACAAACATGTACCGAACCTGTAAATCAATTTTATACTGATTATGCTAGAACACAACCCAAGTGCGCATGCTCCATGCACATCTTATTTAATAAGATGTTAATGAATTAATGCGATCTGTACGCATTCAACAACTGTGTGTTACAGCTACCCTGCTCGTACTTCACTAAACCAGAGCATTAACATCTTTAAAAGTAAGCAAGCAAGGGATGGTAAATAAATTTCAGAAACATAGAAACTAAAAAAAAAAGAATTGTTATAAAACGATAACAAATACTCATGATATAACAAAATAGACCTATGTTTTTCTAACAAAATATGATACTACATAGGCCTAGGTGGACATTAGTTTAGTTTACATCTAATGTTGCAGTTATATCCGAGTTGGGAAGACTCGCTCCCATGATTACATGTCTCATTAACGCAATTCCTTATTAGTTGTGCATATTTAAAATGGATCACAATAGTTACGTTTTTAAAAGTTATCAATTTCAACTGAGAAAAAACTGTGGATATCATTTTTTATTAGAATTTCAATTTTTTATGCAGAACTCAGAAAAGAATTTATTCCAGTATTTTTATTTTACCGCTCCTTCAGAAAACAAGTTCATTTTGTTAATGTCATCAGATTCCCACACTTATAACTAAGACGGGCAGGAGGACATATTATACAATGAATAAATGTCCTAGACTTCGTGTCAAGGAACGAACAGTTTATTTATTTGATTGTACACTTTTAGGACAGTGGCAATCGCCAATTTGACTAAAATATTTAATGGATGTATAGTCATTCAATTGTTCTCTACAATAAAACAATCAATCAAAAACAAATTGTGAAGAGAAAATTAATTTTTATACGTTTAACGCCAAATTTCCCCTTTAAAAGTCTTAAATCTAAAAATAAATGAATTGTGAATTACATTATAAAACACATATTTGCAACTTTAGTATCAAATAGGAGACGAAATATATTGGCAGGCCCACGTAATGGTCAGTACACGAATTGCTATGGCAAAGTCGCGACAAAACTATTCAACCCATCTGAACAATCTCACTTTTGTTTTTCGGCTGTCATTGGGTGAAGAGTAAATCACGCTGAGGTGAGCTGGAGATGCTACCAAGGACAGCCTTCGCCTGTATTCCATACACGAATTCACAAACATGTACCGAACCTGTAAATCAATTTTATACTGATTATGCTAGAACACAACCCAAGTGCGCATGCTCCATGCACATCTTATTTAATAAGATGTTAATGAATTAATGCGATCTGTACGCATTCAACAACTGTGTGTTACAGCTACCCTGCTCGTACTTCACCAAACCGGAGCATTAACATCTTTAAAAGTAAGCAAGCAAGGGATGGTAAATAAATTTCAGAAACATAGAAACTAAAAAAAATAGAATTGTTATAAAACGATAACAAATACTCATGATATAACAAAATAGACCTATGTTTTTCTAACAAAATATTTAGAAAAAAGAATTCAAAGAAGAGACAGCTAATGAAGAAAAAGAAGTAATTAAAAGAAAAAGAAATAGGCCTAGAGAAAAATAGCAAAATGGAAAGATAAGAGGAAAAAAACTATTATAGCATTATGTTCGAAAGTGCTCGTAACATTAGAAACGTACTACAAATAGACAATGATAAAGTTGGTGATAATGGCATTGGTAAATGCGATATTGATATGCAAAGCAATGTAATCGTATCTACATTTCATACTTCTTGTATACTGAAGTAATATGGAAGAAAAAGAACAAACAGGACTGATACTATAATACATGTTTAAGTGGAATCGTGTTGTTTAATAGTATATAAGAACACACAAGTTATGGCAGGTAATATATATAAATAAATTAGGCCTATTTAACCATTTCAGCTAGAAAAAACAACTTTGAAAGTGAATTTTAGAAAATTACAACCGAAGCCATGGAATGAGAAAAAAGGAAATGCTTTTGAAATGTGGTGTTTTAGAAAAATTTAGTTGGACTAGGCATGTAGAGGTTGATAAGGGCACTCAACGTAAAATTAACTTTTGCAAGATATCGATATAATCTGGTCACAAGACAGCCTATTCTGAAAAGGAAAAATTGATAATAATACATTTTTGGGGCATTATGGCCTGGCGGCTCAATGCCGCAAAATAAAGGCATGGCTATAATTGCGCAGACAACAACGCAAGTGAAACCGTTTAGTCGTATTGGATACGACACTATCAAACATTCATAAATAATCAATAGTCACGTGATTACGAACTCCTGATGGTTCTTAAACTTGTATCTTGTCTCTATTAAGAGAATTTCACCTAGCAGATTGTTTTGTTAAATTTCACACGAAGCAGAGAAGACGGCTTAAAAAGGTATTGTAGGCGTAGGTTTAAAATCGTTTACTGGAGTTTCTAATCTTGTCGGCTTAAATATTGACTTAAATTTTATTCCTTGTTTAAATTGATTTACCTATATTTAATTTTAATTCATTCGAATAACGAGTTTGGCATTTAGTAGCATTTAAAATGATAGTTCTCTTTAGTCTAACTCCACACCATATTTTTCATGCACCTCCATAAATTTAATATTATGGTTCATAAAATAGGTTTATTGCGGGATCACGGTAGTTATTGCAAGATGTTAATGTTTTATGAGACATTGAATCTAGGCCTACAGTACTGTCTCACAAATTGTCCTATACAGTAGTTAGAATAACGGACTAGACAATTGTGATATAAAATCAAGATTTATGCACTGATGAAAAAGCTTTTCGTGGGAGATGATATTGTCCACACTGAATAAAAGATTTTGTTATTAACAATGGTCCATGCCTAGGCGTACATAAAAAAAAGTTTAGTTAGGATTTTATGTCGACGAAGTTTAAGCTTCATCAATATTCACCATTTTTTTTCTTCAGAAAAGCAATTTACAAGTTCGGACAAAAGAATAACTTTGTACCGTACTTAAAGGTAAGTTTTTATTTGCACCGATAGGTATTCCGCAACAAGATACTTTACTCAATTTGCTTTTATAACAAAAGAAAGAAATGTAAACTTTCAGCAATACCGTACGTCATGAGCAGTTAGAATTATATAGACCTAAATGTTTGTTCATACCCTACCTACATTTAATACAATAATCCAAATTTTTTTATTTTCATTACTTAATTATTTATTTATTATTTATTTATTAGTCGTTATTCTTACTTAGTACAAAAAATTTACTATTACAATTTTTTCTCTAAAGCGTGCCGGTGTTCCGCTTTCATTTATGTATCTATCACGGCTAGCCCATGCTTCTCTGGTCTTATTAAGCACAAATCGATTAGTATCAATAAATCTAACAATTTATCTTTAATTAAATTAAAACTAAGCCTAAACAACATATGGTACCAGCAATCATTCATTTTTCTAATAAAAAAAAAAACCAAAAAACAAAAAAAAAAACAAACAAAAAAAAAACAAACAAAAACCGGGCTTTCTAATATCTATCGCAATACTTTTAAACTAGAGTACAAGGATATTGTAACCAGTTTTATAATTTTAATGGCGAAGATTAATATCTATATAGCCTGAATAGACTTAATAGTATGCAAAACAAAATTCTATTTGACAATTTTTTCGGACTGTTGTTAGGAAAAAGCTATGTTTTAACACTTTTGATTGTTAATTTTTCTTGTAATTCGAAAATTGATTGTTGGTTTTTCATTCTTGTTTTTTTTAGATAACTCTTTTTTATCTCTTTTTAAATCAATTATTTATTTGGTCAAATACAGGAAAATTTAAAAAATAGTTTATTCTGGAATGTTTTCCTGTATAAAAATGATTTTTTAAACAAAAAAAAAGATAAATAAACTGTTGAATATAACATTTGAATCCGGTCACTGTCGTTGCTATATTATTAGTTCTATAAGCCTATAAGTTCTTTTTAATTACAATAATTATTTATCACACCAAAAACAAGTTTGGAATGTTTCGGTCCATTTGTAGGCTGACGATTTGAATTTTAATTTTGAGGATAATTTCAATTTATTTTAATGCAATGATAATTTCGTTAATAATAGGTAATAGTTTGTATCATTAACATGAGTGATTAAATCAGGCCTAACATCTTAGGAAAATACTGTACTATATTGTGTAATCGATTAATTTAGGCTTACGTTATAAAAAAAATCAGATCAAAATAGTTATCAATCTTAATATCTCCTTGTTGTTTCTATGGCTTTTATCACATGCTATAAATTAATTAGGCCTATATATACAGCATAAAGTATAATTAGCTATATATGCTTATATATAATTTATATACATATACATATAGGCCTATATATGTATTAATGAAATACAAAGATATAGTCTTAATTTGCAACAATTTATTGAAGATAAGAATCAACGAGATCTTTCGGTCGTAGACCTTTATCAAGCTATAGTGACACAAATATAG